GCATTTCTTCTTGGCTAGTGAGGAGGGCATTGGGTCTGGAGACATACCTCAGTTGGTAAAATACAGAAACCTATCTGTGTTCAGTCCCCTGCACCATATAAGCCAGTAGTCGTGGCACATGCCTGCAATTCCAGCACTTGAGAGGCTGAGGCAGGAGGATCACCAGTTTGAATCTAGCTTTGATTACATACTGATTTCCAAACTACACCAAGTCCAGGCTAACTTGAGATACGTATCAGTGAGATCCTGTCTTAAACATTGAAAGAGAACAATGTAAATGTTATCCCTTGTGTTCACTGATGACATTAAGTCTTTCCGTTTTCTTTTCCTTCCTTTCCTTTTTCCTTGCTACACAGGGTCACACTGTGTCATCCTGGTTGGCCCCAAACATACAGTGATCCTCCTGCCTCTTTTTCCAAGTGCCAGCACTACAGGTGTGTACCACTGCCACTCCCACTCCCTCCGTTATCTTCCTCTAGTTTCTAGGGTTTAATCAGAAGATTCTAAGTTGTCTCCATTCTGTCTTGCCAAAATAGTGACTTTTTTTTGTACTAGGTTTATAGATGTGTAGCATCATGCCTGACTTTATGCAGGAGCTTTCCAATGTAGTGGAGATCTGAGTTCTTTTTAAAACATGGATGAAAATTGGATGTAGTGCATGTGGTTATGATCTCAGCACTCTCAGAGGATGCACAGTGAGACCTTGTCTACAAACAAAACAGCTCCCTGACCCCCTATATGATAGTGTCACACCCTTCAGTGACTCCTCACTGTACAAAGTATATCATTTAGATAGTAAAGGCATTTGGAATCTGCTCAGATCCTTCCCTCGAATGCCTGCCCCCATCCCCAAAGACCCACCCCTCTCCCCTGGCCCTCAGCTAATAAGACTGCAAAATCTCTCCTGGAGTGATCTGTATTTACCCCAGTGGTTATCCTTGCTGCATTCCAGCAAAGCACAATATTCAAGTTTGCCTGGAATAGTGTCTCTTACTGTATTAGACTAGCTACTGTATTGAACTTTGACTATTACAGAAAGTTATTTCACTAGTATTAGAGGATTAAGATTGCCATTCTAGAGTTCACTTACCTTCAGGGTAGATTTGAGTAGGAATATGATGTGGTTTTGTAAGTTAGAAACCTCATGCAATATTGTTGCAAACTGCTGGTTATCTCTGTTCTCTATCAGAACAGATGTTATGCATACAAATTGGCAGAGTGGAATTTTCCATTGGGTGGGGGGGGTAATAATAGAAATGAGCAGGGAGACAGCTGGCAGGTTCATAGGCTTCCCTCCCCCCTTTGGCTTGGGATTTACCAAAAGAAGGTCGCCCCACAACCAGATTTTTGTTTGTTTGTTCTTTGAGATAGGATCTTACTGCTACTGACTGTCCTTAAACCCACAATCTCCTATTTTAGCCTACTGAATTCTGGGAGTATAGTTGTGTTCCATCACACCTAGCTGTTTGTTTAGATTTAAACTGATCAGTTAGTAGATTTAATGTTTATAGTAATTGCATATAGAATTGAACCCATCTGGAAACATTGAACAAGAGATAGTAAAGATTTTCCTTTAAAAGGAGTGGAGAACCTTGAGAGATGGCTCAGAGCTTAAGAGTACCTTCTGCCTTTGCAGAAGTCACAGTAGCACAGTTGGGTGTCTCACAGCTACCTGCCTAGGACTCCAGTGCTGGGGTGGATTGCCCTCTTCTCGACTCTGAGGACCTGAACTCATATACATGAATACATGTAGATTACTTTATTTACAATAATAAGTCATTTAAAAAGAAGGGGAATGGTTCTTATGTGTAAGAATGTTTGTGATGCTTCATCCTAAAGCAAATTGAAGGTGAGTTTCAAAAATCTAGTTTTAAATTAATGAGTGAATATCTGATCCCCCACCAAATTTTGCCTTGATTTTAATGTGCTCTGTATTTGTTACAAAATAATTAATACCTAAAGATACTGCTATGATGTAGTTATTTAAAGCAGTCTTCTGGTTTTACATACAATTTCAATTTGTAAAAACTTTTTTATAAAAGGGAGTTTGTATAATGTTTTGTGTATTTAAGACATTTGGGAAGAGCGTTTTGTGTGTATGTCTATTTTTATGTGTGTATGCACGTCACGGTGTGTATAGAGATCAGAGGACAACTTGTGGAAGTCAGTTATCTTGTATGGTGAGCTCTCATATTGAACTTGGATTATCAGGCTTGGTGGTAAACACCTTTACTGCTGAGCCATTTTGCTATCTCTGGAAACTTTTTGTTTGTTTTTGAGACAGGGTTTTTCTGTATGGTGCTGCACTCATTTTTAAACTATTTTATTTGGGGTATTTATGTCTCTATCTCCCTCCCACCAACCATTTAACCCTAGATAAGAGAGAGAAAGTCAGTTGGCAGAGGGGATACAGACCCCTTTACTTCTGGCCGTTTAGGGCTGATGGGTTCTTTTGGAGCTATACCAGTCTCTCAAGAGCAAACACAGGAAGTAGTCTCCAAGCTGCCACACTGTCAGTCTCTGGTCTCTCCAAACCACCACCACCTCTTTTTCTGGGCTCTTACATTTATATTCCTCAGAATCCTAGACCATGGGCCTCTCCATGCTGAATGAGGCAGGCCTTTACCAGCTGGCAAAGACCACACCTGGAAGGAGGCAGTTATCACCTGTGGACAAACTAAAGCCCAAACTAAAATCCCATACTTGGGATTGAAACAAAGACATTCACCCAATATAACTGTGTGTGTGTGTGTGTGTGTGTGTGTGTGTGTGTGTGTGTGTGTGT